CAAAGGAGATTAATCAGAACTGGCTTTGACATGCACTGTGGCAATTGGACAATTAAAACAGACTTTCAAGGGGGGAAAAAAAGAAGAACGAACTGGGGAGGAAGGTAGAGAAAATAGTGCAACAATGAATGAATGAAAACCCCAAATCTCTGTAAATGTTCATTAAAATTAATAAAATTTAATTTAAAAAAGAGACTGTGAAGTGAGAGATATAATTACCGATGTCAGCTGAATTTTGGCTAAACACAGAGAATAATAACAAGTTGTTGTTTGTTGTTATGTGCCATACATACTTTTATTGACTATGCAAAGGCATTTGACTGTGTGGAATAAAATAAACTACTAATAAGAGGAGAAAAAAAAGCCAGTCTTTAGAACCCTGCTCTAATCCTGAGCCAATCTCACTGTCTCTGACACATTTACCCTCATTACCATAGTTATTATGCCAATCCACCTTATCCAGGACCTTCCTCTCCTATGCTGTCCCTCCACCTTTCCAAGTGTGCTATCGTTCTCCAAAGACTGGTCCCTCCTGGCTAAATGCTCAAAGTATGTGAGACTGAGTCTCAAACTCCTTGCCTCTAGGAGCAGCTTGGTTTCACCTTCTCTAGGTCAGACCTGTTAGTTCTGTTGGTGTCCGGGGGGGGGAGGGAAACAGATTCTAAAAAACCCAAATCCACTGAATGATTCTGACACATCATACCCATCCAGGACAGACCAGAACTGCCCAAAGGGTTTCAAAAATGCTGTAAAATCTCATAGGCTCCCACAAAGTTGTGGGTTGAGTTTTAACCCCGGACCCCTGGGTTTGTAATAATGCTTCATCCATTGCATCACCGAAAGGAGCCTCAGAACATCGATAGCCTGTACACAGGGGCGCACCTTTTCTTCCACCTCGGGCTCCCCTAGAGCTGGGCCTGGAGAAGCCACAGCAAAGCCCTTTCCTCAGCACTCAGGAACCCTAAAAAGAAGTTTTTTACTATTCATCAGTCCCCAAGTCAGGGTGCTTCCTAAGACTTCGGGTCTGTGCAAAGGAAGTTCCTTCTGCTCCCCTCTTTGCACCCCCCTCCAATCCCACTCCTCACCCTGATGTCCACCTTTGCTGCCCACCTCCCCCTCCTGCCGCTCAGGGACGGCACATTGGCGCCCTCTGCTGGACGCTGATGAGTGGTGGTCGCACCCTTCGGAGATCACCCACACTTAAATTTCAAAGCAATTAATAGGTTAGTCTAATATATTTTAAAAAAAAAAATATAGGTAAAGGAGCAATTAAATAGAACTTTCACCTAACAATATCAACAACAGTAATATTTAATAAAATGCCTCAGAAAATCATCCACTGAAATAGAAATTACACAGATTTTTTTTTTTAATAGTTCAATATCAGTTTTTAGAGGACTCTGAAGAAATAGCTTAACAGGATAAATTCTTTAAAACAATACAAAACTCTATCAAAGTCAAAGGTTTACAGATACACAATTCCTAACATTACTCAAGAATTAACGGTAGAAACTGTATGTTTAAACAAATAAACAAATAAGCAAATATTCTTGGCCATGGAGTTATGTTTTAACCTTATTTTCTGGTTTGGTCATAGTGGTATTATTCTCAAATGCTGTTGTGTCTGCTATTAAAAAAGCTATTAAGGCAGAAGAGTTTGTCCTGCTTGAATTTTTTTAACCTCCACTTTGTTTTAAATGGATGAAGACATTACTTCCCTCATTATTAAAAAAAAAAAAAAAAACACCCAGGGTTACCCCAGCTGGCTTTTAAACATAAGATTTGGGGTCCAGCTGCAGGGCTCTAGGGGCCCAGGCCTGTGTCAAGGTCAAGCCTGCACACTGAAGGGTGGGGAGTGAAGACGTGGAAGGAGCTAATGGAGCCAGCCCAAGTGAGGCCGCCTCAAACCAGCAGAATCAGACTGAAGCAAGATTCCCAAGTTGGCCACCTCAGGATCCTTGAGAGCAAATGAGGGACCACCCAGATCCCTCCTCAGTTAGAGTGCCAGGGGCGGAGGATGAACCACAGAGGCTTGGGGGGGGGAACCTCTGGCTGTCTTTAGCTGGTCATTCCAGCCCCTCAAAGGTGGTGGACTTCATAGCCAGTTGAGGGTCACCATTAGGATTTGGCGGTGCCGGAGCTCTGTGGAAAGAAGAGGAAATCATTAGTGCCTGAGTGTCTTTCATGAGCTATGCTGAGAGTCTGCATAGCTTCTTTGTGGATTTGTTTTTTTGCGCCTGCTTGCAACTGCATCAGATTCGAGCTATAGCCATTTTACAGATGAGGCAACTGAGGACCTGTGGGTTAAAGTGACTGGAGTAGAACAGTGTAGGCCCTTTTCCCTTGTTTGAATTAATATCTAGAGGCTGCATTTCCTGCTCTCCCCCACTGTTGTGTCCTCACAATGATACTGTGGAAAGGTAGAAAAAGATGCCATTCTGTTTCATAAAGAAAAGAAAACCGAGCTTCAAAAAATTTCAACAGCGTGTCCAAGATCCCACGGCTTAAAAAAAAAAAGCAGAGTTGATTTTTTCAGACTCTTTCTTTGTAACTTCAATTAGGTGACTATTTCTTGACACTTTGGTCAAAAAGGAGGAGAGATGGAAATTTTGTAAATAAACCAGTATAAAATAAAAATTTTATTTAAAATTTTTTTAAAAAGAGGCAAGGGGAGAAAAAGAAAAGAAATGTGACTACACATTCAGAGGGAGGTAATAAAGAAATTGTTGTGAGGTGTTGTCCAGTCGACTATGACTCCCAGCGACCCGATGAACAACAAACAGGTCTGAAGCTCGCCCTCTCCTGCACCATCCACGCCAACCCTGCTGTGCTTCTGGTTTATCAGCGCAAACGGCCAAAGACTATCCCACCAGAGCTCCCTTGCTGTTGTTGTGGATTGTTGTCGACTGCCTTCGAGTTGAGCACAACTCACAGCGACCCTATGAACAAAAGTCCTGCAGCCTTTCGATAACTATCGTCACTTATCAAAGTTCACAGCGCTCCCTAGTATTTGATGTAAGTGGAATCATATAATAGTTGTCTTTTTGTGTCTAACTTCACTAAACATGTTTTCAAGGTTCCTCTATGTTGCAGCTATATTTCTCTTTATGGGCGAGGAATACATGATAGCTTTTGTTGTTGTTGTTGACTGCCTTAGAGTCAAGCACGACTCATTGAGACCCTATGAACAAAAGGCCTGAAGCCTCTCTACAACTATTCACACATATCAAAGTTCATAAAGTTTCCAGAGGCATGTTGTTTAGGAAGTGGATGCCACTCTTGTTTTTGTTACTAAATAAAATAAATCGCTAATTACTCAAACGGAGCCCTGGTGGCCTTGTGGTAAGAAACTGTGCTGCAATCTCAAAGGCATGCAGTTCAAATCCACCACTCCTGCTGCCATGGGTGTGGATTATATATTGAAATCACTGGACAAGTGTCTTCTCCTCCGTCTATCATGATGTTGTCTCTTGATCCAGTAGGGAGGATATTTGTTTTCTTGATGTGTAAATGTAATCCACTCTGAAGGTTGTACGCTTCTTCTACAGTAAGTGCTTCAAAGTCCTTTTAACTTTCAGCAAGCAAGGTTGTTGTTATGTGCATAACACAGGTTGTTGATGAGTCTTCCTCCAATCCTGATACCTCACTGTTTTTCATACAGCCCAGGCTATTGAATGATTTGCTCAGCAAACAGACAGAAGTGGTATGGAGAAATGATACAACCCTGACACATGTCTCTACTGATTTTAAACCAAGTGGTGCTCCCTTGTTCTGTTTAGACAACTGCTCCTTGATCTAGGTATAGATTTTGCATGAACACAATTAAGTGTTCTGGGATTCCCATTCTTTTCACTGTTACCAATAACTTATGATCCACACATCCAAATGCCTTTGCAAAGTCAATAAAACACAGATAAACCTTTGTGGTATTCTCTGCTTTCAGGTATGATCCATCTGACATCAGCACTAATATCCCTCATGCCATGGCCTCCTCTAAATCCAGCTTGAATTCCTGGTAGTTCTCTAGGTATGTACTGCTCTGGCCATTTTTAAATAATCTTCAGTAAGAGTTTACTTGTATGTGATATTAATCTTATTGTTCAAAAATTTCCACATTCTGTTGAATTATCTTTTTTGAGAATGGAAACAAATATGGATCCCTGCAGTCAGTTGGCAAAGTGGTTCTCTTTCTAACTTCCTGGTATAGACTAGGCTGAGCTGCATCTGTTTGTTGAAATACATCATCTTGTATTCCATCAATTCCTGGGGCCTTAGTTTTTTTGCTGATGCCTTCAGTTAAGCTTGAACTTCTTCCTTCATGACCACTGCTTCTTGATCATATGACACTTCCTGAAATGTTTCAGAGCTGATCAATTCTTTTTGGTACAATGGTCGTCTTCCTTTGGTGAATCAGTCAAGATTTTAGCTCTAGAATTCTCTAGTATTGAAAGTTAAAGCTTGTTTTTCAGCTCTTTCAGCCTGAAAAGTAAGGATTATAGACTTATTTTATTTTTTTAAATTGGCTACACAGATCTGGTGGCCTAATGGTAAGAAGCTGTGTTGCAATCTCAAGGGTATGTAGTTCTAATCTACCAGCTGCACTACAAGAGACAGGAAATCTCCTCCTGTAAGATTAAAAGCCTCTGAAAACTTGCTGGAGGGATAGCTACGAGTCAGTTCTGACTTGAGGCACACAACAACAACAACATAACTTATGTTAAGTATTAAGGTAAAAATTCCCATATAGGTGATGGAATAAATGCGATAATTTCTTCTCCTCTTCCCCTCTCCATTCCCTGTGCTTTGGATCATTTAACGTAGGAACTATCTGTTTGAGGCTTAATGTAGTCATGAATGCAGGGATTCTCAGATGAAAGCCATTTTCATCAATCCTACAACATTAGATGCCTTTTCCCCCTCTTACCCTCTCACAAGATTACAGCACAGCTTCCCACAGTGCATTTGGAAGATCTGCATGATTCAGTAAACCAATTCTTTTCCAGGTAAAAATGAAAGATTTTATAAAAATAGACATGGTAAAAACAAAAGACCTTATAAACAATATACATGGTAGATGTAAAAATACACATAGTAGTGCAAGATACCAAAGATGTGTAGTTCGAGGGAGCTCTGGTGCCTAGTGGCAAGAAGTTGCGCTGCAATCCCGAAGGTGCACGGTTCGAATCCACCAGATGATCCGCTGGAGAAGGAGGGACAATCTTCTCCTGTGCCAGTCAGATCAGATTCGATGGTACACAACAAGGGGGAAAAAAGTGCAAGACAGACCACTGCATCTTAAGACACAGAAAAGTTCACTGACAGTTTCAGATTCTGCATTTCAACAACAACTGGCTGTTCCAACTACATTATTTGTGAGGCTTGGTCTCTTTCATATACTTCAACTAAAACAACGTAACACAACAGATTGAATGCTGATGCAGAGTGAGAATTCAGCTGATAACCGAAAGGTCAGCAGTTCAAATTCACAAGCTGTGCTTTTTGAGAAAGCTATGAAAGGCTTTTTCCAGAAAGATCTACAGCTTTGAAAACCCTTGGAGAGGGCAGGGCAACCACGTTGTGTCCCACAAAGTCACTTAGAGTCAGAATTGACTGGAGGGCAGTGGTTTCTATGAAGGCAGACATTAAAAAGACTTGCAAAATGTGATTGGTAACAACTTTAGTTTGCTTGGCTCCACGGTCAACACTCTTAGCACCAGCAACCAGGAAATAAAAAATGTACTGCAATGGGAAAGTCTGCTGTTAGGGACCTCTCCAAAGTACTGAAGAGCAATGGTGTTTCTCTGGAGACTCTGATACAGGCCATGGTCTTTGCAATCACTTGTTATGCATCAGAGAGTTGGACAATGACTAGGAAGGATAGAAGGAGAATTGATGCCTTTGAGCTGTGGTGCTGGAGAAGAGAATTGAGGGTACCATGGACTGCTAGGAAAACAAACAGATTCATGCTTGAGAGGGTTAAACCAGGCTGCTCCTTGGAGGCAAGGATTCTGAGGCTCTGTCTAACACACTCTGGACATGTTGTAAGGAGGGACCAGTCCTTGGAGAGGGACATCATGCTTGGGAGGGTGGTGAGACGGCGGAAGAGGGGAAGACCCTCTATGAGGCGGACTGGTTCAGTGACTGCGGTCATCAGGATGGGTGTGTCAGAGGCAGTGCGATTGGCACAGGATAGAGGCACGGTTTCGGGCTGTTGTACATAGGGTCGCTATGAGTCGCAAGCGACTCGATGGCACACAACAACAACAACTCCTCAAATTTAAGTCTCTTTTGAAAAAAACAGTTTTTAAAAACAAGCTACACTATCACCTTAGAGTATTTTTCTATTTAAATGAATAAAGGAAATATTTTTCAGACTTGTTTTAACTTCTAATAGACTACTTAAGGGAGCTCTCTGGTGGCGCCCTCTATAGAGTGCTGTACTGCTAACACATCAGTGGTGCCTCTCTGGTGGCTCGAACCCACTGCATCTCCAAAGGAACAAGGTGGGCACTGTTGTCCCTGCAACTTAAAGCCTTGAAAGCCCAAATGGAGGGTCAGCTAAGAGTCAATTTTTGAATTATTTACAGAATTAAGTCAAAGAAGCAAAAGCTCTTTGAAAGTCTAATTTTTTTAACAAACAAAATATAAATCAGGTCTTCAAGAATAAAGTGTGAAACATGTGAGGAATGGGCTCAAATTCCTTGGCTGGAAGGTGTGGAAATGGACAAGAGGTCAAGGGCAGGTCTTGGAAATTCTTCTCAATCTCTGCCGACAAAAATGTCAACTGGAATCAGAAAAATGTAACTCTAGATACACTAAGCAAACCTCTGAGAACCATCCCTGAGTGATTTTAAAGGTGTGGTGGTCAGTGGTAAGAAGCTGTGCTGTAATCCCAAAGGCACAAGGTTCCAATCTACCAGTTGACTCATGGGAGAAGGATGGGCAATCTCCTCCTATGGGATTTACTGCCTCTGAAAACCCGCTGGAGGGTCAGCTATGTATGGGGTTGGTTCCAACTTGATGGTACACGACAACAACAACATTTCATACTTTATTTTTCAATATATAGTGACCAGATAATCTTCAGTTAAAAGTTCAAAGGCTGTTCCATAGAAAACTTCCCTAAAAATTCATATTATTGTTTCTTTCAGTGACTGGCAAACCGTGGCTCCCAGGGCAGATCAGCCCATTGCCTGTTTCACTGGAACGGCCCGTTTTATAGCCGCGCTGATTGGGTTTGCCTCTGTCCTATATGCTACTTTTACACAACAAGATTGCGTAGGTGCAGGAGAGATTGGACGGCCCACAAAGCCAAAAATATTTGTCATCTGGCTCTTGCAGAAATCTCATGCCTACTCCTCTTTGACCATCCCATTTTTATCTTGTTTAGAAGGACTTTAGAGTTAAGTAACTTGGCTTTAAGTTCCTTCTCTGTCTGTAACTTTCTGATTTTTATGGGTTTTTTTTCTTCCTAAAGAATGGGGCTAATATATGTCTCAGAGGGTGGTTGTGAGAATTACATGAGATAAAACCTGGTAAGCACTTCACAGAAATCCCTGGCACAGAGCACTCATGGCTGACAACCACTGGTGTTACTTTAGTAAGGGCTTTAAATAAAACACCATGGCGCTGTATTCCACTTGGACTTACATGCCAAGAAGAAAAAAAAAAAACACCAAACTCTAAACTCACTGCCACAGAGTCAGACTGGACTCACAGTTGATCCTCTAGTGGGTTTTTAGAGGCTGCAAATCACATGGGAGGAGACTGCCCATCTCTCCTGCTCAGAGCTGATGGTAGATTTGTGCTGTCTCTGGGTTAACAGCTCGGCTCCAAACTGAGCAGACCGCCAGAGCTCAGAGCAAAAATCAAGCATCAACAAAGATCACTCAGAGTACTAACATTATTGGCCAACACTCTCATATCACTCTGGGGTATTTGCAAGTTGAAAAGGGCAGTCCATTTTTCTCTGGCAACCTTCCTTCTCCCCCCATTGTGGAGTTATCGCTGAATATGACTTTCCTAGCCATAGTTTGATTTTGCTATGTAGATGGGTGGGAATATGCAAATAAGGTGTGTTATCCTATCCACAAGACAACTAGCTTTCTACCAATCCACAAAGGTATTGGCTAGTCTCGCCATTAAATTGAGCAATCCAGCAGCAGGAGAACTGGACTCAGCAAAGCAGTAAGAATGGGGTTGAGATGAGGAGAAAGAGGCATCAGAGTGTGGAGGACATGTCTGACCTCAAGGAAATTTGGTTTGTGTTATTGATGCTGTAGATGGGGACAGTTCTCCTTTGTTAAGTTGGTAAAGGTCACATATGGCTGTCACCAAATGGCTCTTTTTACATCCATATAACCACCTTTATTTGAATTTTTATGAATTAAATGTACATTGTTAAAAGGAAAGAATAACAATCAGACGTGCCATCGTGATGAAGTCTGATGGGTGGTGGCAGCAATAGCTTTAGTTGGAAATTTCATTCTAGAACTAATAATGAGAACTTTGTGCCTTTTACCGTTTTGCTTCTAGACATCACCTGGGGCAAGAGAGTGCTTTGAGAAGATCATCCCACACGGTAAAGGTTTAAACTGTCCCACTGACATGTACTCACCTAGAACAAAACCAGGAACCGAGAAGGTTGGAGAATACCATGTACGACATAGTGAGTGTTCCCGACATGGCAAGTGACACGAAGCCCAAGCCACAGAGGACGCAGACCAGGGAAAAGCCACCCACAGAAATGACCAGTCCTAGGAGGAGAGCACGCAGTTAGACATGTGTTCACAGGCAGCAGGCAGCAAGCTGGCTGACCCTGAGGTCAGTATGTTTAACACGTTCCATACATTTTTAAATTGACAACTGTGCTTAGAAACACATTTTTTTTTCGATGTATTACCATCATTTGTGGCAACGTGTTAAAACAGCAAGTTAACCAAAATTTCCTTCCCACAAAAATCCAGATTCCAGGCATCACTTAGAAAGAAAGTCAATTACTTTGCCTGTTTCAAGAGTTGCGTGGAGACAGCTCTTTCAACTGGGGTCCCAATGCAGACCTGCTGGGGAACAATCTGGATGGGGCCTGCCTGGCTGCATTTCTGAAAAGTAGGTGAGACATAAGCACGCCTGGTCTGAGAATCACAGCTCTAAGGCTTTACACTCACTGCTTCTTTGTCCAGAAAGCCCTTCCCTGGCCGCCCCAAGACAGGGTTAAGCATCTCCAAAGCTCCCTCTTCAACATACTTTTCCTGATACAACCTAAATCTAGCGATTCTTTCTTTATAAATTGACTTGCACTTTTAGACTCAATAGTGTACTCATTCCTCCACCCTTTCACCCATCTATCCATCTACAAACCACTCTGCCTAGATGCGCGTAGCCGCGTCCATCTACCAACAACACCTGCTTCCCTGAGTGCCAACTACCATGCCCACAGCACCCTGTGCAGGCTATAACCACCCTGTGTGCTCACAGCCATGGAATGGACCAGAAGTGATAGTCTGACCTGAGGACAACATCCTAAACAACATTTCTTTAGTACCTTGCGGGCTGTGATTTGACCCCAAAAGGCAAACTGAGCCAATGAGATTTTCTTTTCCTGAGCTTTTAACTTGGTGACATAAGAAGCTGACAACTGGCAGGAGCACAGTGGGTGTCAATGGGGAATGTGAGCCTCACCTTGTAAAGCACTTGGCATGCAATAGGTGCTCATTAAACAAGCTATACAATGGATAGCCTCTCCGAGTAATAATTTATAACTCATAGTTGGCGTTTCTTGGCAGCCACTCTGTGCTAGATTCTGTGGAACTGTCCATTTCAATCCTCAAAATAGTCTTTTGTTTTAGAATCATTAAGAGTTCTACTCTGTATATTATGAACTTTAGGTGCCGAGAGGATAACTAAGATTGCATGGGTGGAAGGTGTTCTAATGTAAACTCCACAGTCTGCTTTTTAACTATTCCAACAAGCTACGTTGGTTGGTACAATTATGACCAGTACAGAATCCTCTGACCAGGGTGGCAAATGCCCTGGGAACACTGTCCCCACAGCTGAGTTGCTCTTCAGAGGGGCAAATAACTGAGCAGGATACCTTCCAGCAGTATGACTCCCACAATGGCAGCCAGGGACGTCAGCACCATGAGAAGCACGAAGAACCCAACTGGAACGGCCGACAGGGCAACGAACACCAGCAAGGTGAGGACCAGGAAAGGATGTTTGTCCAAGTACTGGCCCACCGGGGACTTCATAAAGCCAATCACCTGCAGGCAAAGGAGAAAGAGCCCGGATCGCATATCACATCCCAGAACCTCATTCTCCTGTCATCTTGGGGCCTGCAACCCTGGTGGAAGGCATCAGCCCACACTGTGGCAAGAACAGGCAGAGGTGCTCAGGTCAGGAAGTTCCTGAGAAGTCACCCCAAGGAGTTTTCTCCCAGGACATCAAGACATGAGTCACATCATCAACAGGCAGCATGGGTGAGGGCTCCGCCAAACTAGATATAAGGTTTGTGAAAGGACAGAATCAGGGCTGACTCAGTAGCTTAATATACACCTTCTCAAAAAAAAAAATCCCTGAACATTCATACACATTGTTTCATGCACTTACATTGTGCCTTATACAATCTTTCATTTACATTGAATTTCATTCATATATATTGTGGGTTGTTGTTTTTTTTTAATATAAAAATAGCTACAATGTACATGACTAAAACACAATGTGAAATAATTACTTTGTGCAAACCAATAAAAAAGAAAAAAATCCATCAATGACTGAATGAGTAAACAAAATGTACTATGTACATGCAGTAAAATATTACTTGTCCACAAAGAGAAACAGAAACCAGAAAGTATTGAAAGTTAACTGGAGGGAGAGACTCAAGGAATACAGAGAGAAGGGAAGTGTTTGCTTTGTACCCAGAGAGTTTATGTTAGTAACAGGTGGGGAGGGGGCGGGGTGAAGGAAGTTGGAAAGATAAGGTGTGAAAAACAATGTATATGAACTTTGTAAATAAACCAGTATAAAATAAAATTTAAAAAGTAATAGTAGACGTTGAGTCTGGTAGCCTAGTGGCAAGAAGCTGCACTGCAATCGCTGCTGGAGAAAGAGGGTCAATCTCCTCTTGTACAGTCAGATTTGACTTGACAGTACACACACACACACACACACACACACACACACACTAATTTTTTTTAAAAAATAGAATAATTTGGAAAAGCATAATGAGATTGTTTGTATAACCCGAAGAACATAACCAATGTCACCAAATTTAACATGTAGAAATTGTTGAATTAGTGCATGTTTTGATTGTATATAATGGTGGGTATAATATAAACAGTGCATGTAATGAATGAAAGAAAAAATAAGGTTTTAAGTTATAAACAAACTCTATAAAATAAACAAAAACACACTGGTGGTTTAGGGCCACATGGACGTGATGTGTATACAACACACGTACTCTACAGTAAAGGCTAACATAGCTGGTGCCACTGAGGCTGTTCAGTATTTAGTATCAGCATCACCTGGGAGCTTTCTAGAAATGCAGGCTCTCAGGCCCCGGCCTTGCCTTGGTAGATCAGAACCTGCAATTTAAAAAGATGCTCAACTGATTTAAACGCACATTAAAGTTTGAAAAGCGTGGGATTAAATGATGGGAGTTTCTGAGTGGTGAAATCTTGGTCTTCTAAGCGAGGTCTTCAGGCTCCAAATGAGTGACCAATGATTGCACAACAGCTACCACCTCATCAGGTAAAAAATATTTTAGTGTGATCAATCTGGATCCTAAAGTCACAGTCTGACGAGACGGTGCATTGATAATTTATCTCCTTTCTCACCACGCAGAAGGACTCTTGGATCTGATGCAGCAAAGGATTGTGTACATTTTTTCCATGATAGTCTTTTATTAATAATTGTTCTGTCTACAATGCAATTATCACTTTACAGAATTTATTCAAAGAAAGAGCACTTAGCAAAAAAATGAGTAGCAAATGTGAAATAAAGGAAATGGTTCTTATCTTTAAATGTAAACATGTACCACTGTTATGTACAGTCGAGTGTGAATCGACTTATACCTGACTCTCCAGTAAACTGCAGGAGAGAACACTGCCAATCTGCTCCCACAGAACACCTGGTAGATTCAAACTGTGTGTGTGCCTTTGGGTTAACAGCACAACTCTTTCCACTAAGCCACCAGGAACTATTCTAGAATCTAGGAAAACTGCACTTAATACAGATAACTGGTTAAGGACGCAATTTTAATGCAGGGTGCACCCCGAGGCTGAGATCCTTCCATTTTTCTTAAACCCATTCAAACCCACAGCACGATGTTGGACAAGCAGAACTGCCCACTGGGTTTCCCAAACTGCAATTTACATGGAAGCAGAAGCCCACAACTTTCTCTCGAGGAGAAACCACTAACCAGTGGATTTGAACTGCCAACCTTTCAGTCAGCAGCCAAACACAGAACCACTGTACCTCTTGAGCTCGCTCTGCTCTTCTTATGCCCTATTTAGTCCCTGTTCTTTAAGGGTCCAGAACTTCATCATTCTAGAACCTCTCTCCACCAAAACCATCCTGGGTCTCCTTTAGGCTCATAGTGGAAATAAAGATATTATTCAAGTTACAGTGATTAAAGAGGTACCTACCCACACAACCCAAATGTCTATATAGTCGAATCACCAAAGCGACTCCAGTGGTATAAATTTCAGGTAAAGTTGGAAAGCAAGAGGGGTTTTGTGGGTTTCTTAAATATACATTTGTTGTATAGGTTTGCATACAATACTTCAAATACATTGTATTTCATTCATTTACATTGTACTTTATACAATGTTTTCATTTACAATGTGTTTCATACACTCATTCATATATGTTGTATTATATAGAATTACTATGCCCATTATTTTTTTTAAATAAAAAATTTATTTTACTGATTTCCTTACAAAATCTGTATACATTGTTTTTCACAACAGATCTTTCCCATTTCTTATACCCATCCCTCCATCCACCCATCAAGTTGGGCAACCCTAGGGAGATCTCTGGTGGCCTAGAGGCAAGAAGCTGCACTGCAATCTCAAAGGGGTGCAGTTTGAATCCACTAGTTGCTCCACTGGAGAAAGTGAGGCAATCTCCTCCTGTGCCAGTCAGATTCAACTCGATGATACACAATAACAATAAGATAAAATTTAATTATAATTAACCCCATGCCCCATCCCCACCCCTCTGCTCCCCCCCACCCCCCCCCGCGTCCCACAAGGTAGCAAGAGGGTTTTGTAGTTCCTATCAATGGTGATCAACGTATGGGGATAGATAAAGGCTGTCCCCAGAGAGATGCTGCAGCCAACACTGTGGGCCTTTGGCATTTCCCTGTGTGTAGAGTGCTCTTGGTGAAAGAGATGTTATTCTGTGCCAGGCCACTGCCTCCCAGCATCCTACTAACAAAAGCCCTCATAGACCTGGCGCTCATTTCTGAGCCTGAAGTGATGGTATCAGAAGTCACCTCTGAGCCCAGTGAAATCCTCCTAAGTTATGGTGGTGAAAGGTGAGAAAGAAGTGAAGGAATAAACAAGAGAGACACAGAGGACAGGGCTAGTTCCTCCAGCTATCTTAGGTCTTAGCTCCTTCCTAATTCTAATCCAGGTGTCAGCAAGGAGCCCAAACTGTTGTCTCTGCAATCAGAAGAGCGCCAGCAACCCCACTGGAAGGAGCAGACCAGCTCTCCAGGGGCAGCAGGACACAGTGGGCTATCCCAGCACAGGGAAGGAAGGTGTGTGTGTGTGGAGAGAGAAGCAGAGGAAGCTGGAAACCACAGTGAACCAGGCTTAAGAGATTCTACCTAAGGAAGATCTGGTGGCCTAGTGGCAAGAAGCTGCACTATAATCCCAGAGGTGCATAGTTCTAATCCACCAGATGCTCTGCTGGAGAAGGAGGGACAATTTCCTCCTGTACTGGTCAGATCTGATTTGACGATACACACACACACACAAATAATAAAAATTTAAAAAGAGAGAGATTCCACCTATGCTGTACAATACACGTGGCTGCTGAGCCAATTTAAAATGCAAGCTTGATTTGGTTCTTGCAAAATGTTCAAGTATAATACAGATAAGGGAGTTCTGGTGGTCTAGAGGGTGCGGAGTTGCACTGCCAACCCAAAGCCACGTGGTTCAAATCGACCAGCTACTCTAAGGAGAAAGATAGTCTCCACCCGAGTGATTTACAGCCTCTGAAAAGCTACTGGAGGGTCATCTATGAGGCAGTTCCCACTCGATGGCACAGAACAATAACATGCCTCAGGTTGGGTTCTTGAGTCTGCTTTTACAACTGTCAAGTTTATGAGAACCAAGAAGAGAGCAAGTGTTTCCAGGGAAAATTTAGTATCTGAAGTAGATATGTGCTTGCTCTATGGCTATGAAAAAAGAAAGTCAATTATCTTGTTGATCATGTTTTGTTGATTATTGTTGTCGTTGTGATGTGCTGTTGAGTCGTTTGCGACTCATAGCGACCCTATGCACAACAAACAGTCCTAAACCCTGCTCTATCCTGTGCCAAC